ACGCTGGTGGACGCTGTTTGACGCTGGCGAACGCTGGGAGACGTGATGCACGCTGGTAGACGCTGGTGAACGCTGCCACAAAGTATGAACGCAGCCTTGGTTAGCAGAACTACTGTTCTCCATGTCTAAAAATGTGCTCAGGGCAGCTCCCTCGCTATTCTCGCTGACAAAAAAAAATTCCAGATGGAGACTATGAATTTCCGAAAACGGTGACATCACTGGATTTTTCCAAACGGGAGCAAACTCACTATAGGGCGCTACTGCCCAAACTTGTTCATCTCAACAACCTCGAATACTTCACCCTTTCACATGCTGATATGTCAAGGTCGGAAGACTTCAACGCATTCGTTCGGGTCCTCTCCAAGAGCCATCTACCAAAGCTCTCTATCCTTGTGAGTTTCACCTTTTCTTATATACTGCCTTTATACTATATCGAAAATAACTTGTTGCAGAATTTACGGATGTGCAAAATTTGCTCATTGAATTTGCAAGGAGATGAAATCGAAATGAATTTGAAGATGATCAAATTTGATCTTTGTTACGGAAATATTTTGGCAGCCATCAAGGAGTTCATCAGTTTCAATCAGTAAGGGACTTCAGTTTTTCAAATGTTGTGGTAGCGGGGCCGAAATGGGCGGAGTGCTCGGATACCACTCTACTACCGATCGTCTTGAAGACGCATTCCATGATATTCACAATAGCTGGATGTGCAAAGAAATAAGATTAAACTCGCAGATACTGCTCCGTATTCATTGCTGTCCCCTACTTCTGATACTGGAGGTAGGAGGGCGCGCTTACTACACAATTGTTGCGAGTTCTCATACATCCAGTTATCGTGGAATGTGTCTTCAAGCTCGATTACGGGTGCCTTTGAGTCTGGGGGTGTCCTTCAGCAACATTTGTGCTAGTTTGCTTTCTCTCTGTAAAAAAAACAGTAAATGAGTAGTTACTAATGTACAGGCCACGGCCCCATCAAACGATAGGGCATGTGAGAGGCGTGTATTGGAAAGCTGTCAGAATGGCCTTCCCCACTAATGATGTCATCGTGAGTCTGCAGCAACAGGCAGAGAGACTGTCTTGGCTGCCTTCCAATCAACGCCCTGTAACACGCCTTATCGCTTGCAGGGATGATGACTGAAGTTAGATACGATACAAGCAAGCAATATGGACGTTGGAGTACACATGATCCCTCGAAAAATCCCTGGAGCATGCGGAAAGTGTCAAAAATCGAGAAAGTCTCCAACTTACGCTAAATCTTGGAATCCTTCTTTTCTCTTGGACACATCGCCCTTGGTGCATGAAAGCAAGCAAACTATAGTGTAGTTCGCTGCGGACGGTTGGGCGTGTCAGGCGGGATGAGTTTGGCGCGGTGCCAAACCCGTTCTCCACCAGTTGTTAAAGCGAGCAAATGATATGACTTCGTATTACTCGTTTTCTACCACTTTTTGTCGCATGCGCGCTTCAACAAGACCTGACACGCCCAACCGTCCGGAGCGAACTTGAGTGTAGCTAAAACTGCCTACTTCAGGAAACTGAGCATTCTTGCTGTCAACGTTCTTTGTAATCGGAGTTCTTTGGAGAGTGTGTACAGTATTTGCTGTGAACTTCGACAAAAACGAATAGGACTGCATCTCTCTATATTGCAGAATTATCCTGATCCGAAAACCTCTGAGTTAGTAGGTTGACATCCTGGCTTGAGAAGGGCTTAATGTTGATACCGCTCACTTTCAGATCCCCGTTTGCTGACTTAAAACCGCCGACTTCGCTATTCTACGTGCTGACAAAGTTTGAGGTTCCTTTTCATTTAATATGTGACATCAGTAAAAATGGCTCAGTTATGGCAGGGCGAAGAAGACTTTCCTTTTACCCTGGCATCATAAAAAACCCAATAAATTCGTGGGTCTTGAAACTTGAATACGAATTCACGGTGAAAAAAAAGCTAGTGGACGGCATTTCCGGAGACGGGCAGTCAAACTTGGATGAAATTATTTTTTGCAGTGTAAGATATCCGAATTAGCATCTAAAGTTTTTTAGCCGCCGCCACTGGCTTGCTCATTAATTACCTATAAAATAAAAATGAATTTTCAGGCTCGTTCGTTGAGGACGTTGTGTTGTTCCAATCGTTACTTATGTCAGGAACGTTCAAAGTGTTGCGTGAAAGTAAATTTGTTGAATGTGACGCGTTAACGAGTGAAGTACTCCAACATTTGTCCGAGGTACGGTCCGTTTACATGCCGGTGCCTTTTTGTTATTCGAAAAGAGCTTCACCCAATGAGCAGTAAAGATTACTTGTAGGACAAGGTTTAGATCGGGTTAGGGGTTGAGTTCCCCTCGTTTCTTTCATGGCTTGTTTTTGCAGAGACTGGTTATCGTAGAGCCACCAGTAATTTACCTTTTCAAAGGGCTTTGTCCGCAAATTTTTTTCCTGAAACGAAATTCTGTCTCTCAAATCCTGGCTTCCAAAAAACTAATTCCTAGGGTCAAGAGCATTTTGACACCGGCGGTCAAAAGGGAGGGAGAAGCTCGGTTTGGCGCATGTTCGTTACTTTCCATTTGCGACTATCTAGCAAGAAAACTTGCTGGATGGTCGCCGCCGAAACGACCCTGCCCCGGTATCCACAGCAAACAAGACTATAGTCGCGTTAAAAACAGTGAATTAAATTGAACTAACGACCAGAACGGCGGGAGGTTGATCCCCTACTAGATGACATATATTAATTGATGAAGCCTTATTTCCGTTACTTAACACATTGGCGACAAGGCGCCTTTTCGCGTGTCTGCCGCGTGGGACGAAGCAATTTTTCCCTATTTTTGAGGAATGCGCATGAATGCTAGGGCGTTTACACACCAAAACACTTGCAGAAGGACTAGTAATCAATGCAGAAAGCTAGTAAAACTTTGCTGTTTTTTTTTACTTTCAAGGTAAACCCTTAATTTTTGTGGAATACTCCCGCCCCATACACGCGGAGCGCGTGGGAAAGAGGGCGCAAAAAAGGAATTTTTTGGTGCCAGAGGCAGTAAATTGGATTCGATCCAGATCTGCTATTGTGGAAAGTTACCTTATTACCTTAGCTATCCACATGTGGAGCTTTGAGATTCTATTTATCCAAAAATTACCTTTTTTCCTAAGGAAATCACTTTCCTTTGTATCCTCCGTAAAATACTCCCAATGATACAACTGCTAGTTTTACAGCTACTGTATATTCTACAATGCCTTCCTGTACAATATATGTAGCTGTTGAAAATTTGAAACGTTTTTTCAAATTGGTTTTCTTTTACTTACCCATGCGCATCCCAGACCGGTGAGCGGGGCGCAAATGTCTGCGCGGACAAAAAGGTTGCGTCCAGCAGTGCGCGACGCACTATGTCAGCCAAACGTACGGTTAATTGGATCTTTTCATAAGTGGTTCTGTCACTAATGTAAATAAAATGTGGATGAACAGATTCACTTCAGTCGGCTCCGGTTCTCCGTAAACTTGGCGTGCTTTCTTGTGCAAAACCGAAAGATGCAGATTTGCTCATATTCATCTCAAGCATGGCAGCAAGAACGACACCTCACCTTCAGGTATCTCAGATTTATTATTCTTAGGGCCAGTAGCTCACACTGCGGACCAACACCAAACGGGGCGTCAACGACTTGTAAAACAATTCCTCATTGGACGGGGTCGGTCAGGGGTAATACGTCACAGATGCGACCGGTCCACCAGTGGGAGGGCTGACGAAGGTTTAAAGTATGAGATCCGCTTCATAATCGTCCAAAAAAGCCACCTAGAGTTGCATGTGATGGCCCGATATTTAAGACCCTAGCGGCTCTCTGTTCCTTCCTGGACTCAAAATATTCTGAGCAAAGATTTCGACGCAACTGGAAGCTATAGTCTTTTCGCTGCAGACTCTTTAAGGAAGATGGGTTTGGCACCAACCCATTCTCCACCAGGTTGAAGCGGGCAAGCGACACCCAGCATCTGCAGCGTAAAGGACCACACATCACTTTCAAATCCATGATTTTACTTATCATTCTTTGACAAGAAGTAGACTACACTTTCTTTTGAAAGCATGACCAGTTTGGAAGGTGTACCGTCGAAAGCCAACCCTTGACGCCAGTGGACCGTTCGCAGGCTCAAACCGATGCACATTCATTTTCGTAGGGGACTGTTCAACTAATTCAGGCTAATAATTGGTCTATTTTCCTTGTGACCGCTCTTCTTTTTAGAGGCCTGGTCTGCAGTATGAGGGTGAGGAAATAGGTGGAGGCTCATAGCCATTGTGCATTCCTACCTGCCGTTCCTCTTTCCATATCGGAAGGAGAGGCGTACCGATGAGGAGTGCACAGTGATTGTGACTCTCCTCCCACTTCTCCGCCCACCCGTTTGTCGCGGAATGTATGTTTGATGGAAGGTGCTACAAATGTAGGAGGAGAATATTTTCAGATTACATGGAGAAGGGATCGTCGCGTTGGAAGCTTAGCCGCATGTTATCTTTCACTTGTGCATGAACATCGTGAAACCATCAAAGGCAAAAAAGCGCGGTTCTTGTCGAAAACGTTTTCGGCAAGTGAAGAAGGAGAAGAAATCATCGTTTGGGAACGGGATAGTTCGAGAACTGTACAGATACGAGTAAGTTGCGGTAAAAAGTTCTTTCAAAAGGCCGCCTTAAATTTACGTCTTTATCAGGATTATAACGACCATCAGAAATACCGTACACTTGGTTTCATTGTTGGAGAGCGACCTGTGCAAAGCACCGAGGATTTGCTGACATCCAATGATAGTAGCTAGCCTTGGTATCATTTTCAGAGATCAAACATATTAGGTTGTTACATAATTTCCGGACCACCTTGGGTATTTTTGAATATTTTTACCTAAGTTTCTTTTATTTATTTACCCAACAAGGTAGTCACGATCAATATCTATAACTTATCGCCAATCTGCAGGAAGCTTCTCGATATCTGTCCTACAGAAGTTCAGTTAATTTCTGCTTGAAGGAAAATTGGATATCGGTTTCAAACCATGTTGTTCAGCGTATTCTTCTTGGGAAAACGGGATAGAAAGTAAATAATGTTTATCCATGTGGGTGAGGTTAAGGCATCCGGGCGACATCCATTTTTTGGGAGATTTCTATCGGCATGGGTGGTCGTGCCTACCAAGAAAAGCTGCTGAAACTCA